TGTACCCATTAATTTTGAAAGGCTATCATAACCTTTATTCCATTCAAATCTTGTATCATCTTCCCTTATAGCGCTTTAAACAAATCAGGACGACAGCGAGAAATTGGATATCGAAGAATAAAACAAATCAATTGAAGATATTGCTCACTCAGAAAAGAAGGACTCGGAAAGGAATCCAAGAACCATGATATCGGACAAGGTTTATAAGCTCTGTACGAGTGAGGAGACAGTCTCCTCACTACTTGCAAAAGATCCTACAATGGCACCAGGAGATGCCTGGAAGCAATTATATGGAGGACATGCGGCAGGGGAGAAGGAAAGTAAGAATGAGGCAAGGAGGCATCGAGATACCATAACGCCGGAGGATTTGCAAAGAGCTTTAGAGTGTGGGAAATGGGGTTCGACACAACCAAGTGAACTTTTCTTAAAGGTAAGATACTTTCATCTGCAAGAAAATATCAGTATTGATGATTGGCAGATGTATCATGATGCATTATGTACTCTGGATAATAGTGTCAGCAATTGTATGGTCAGTCCGCCATTGATGGGAAGTTCTGGTGTTATACCATTGAGTGTGATTTCAGTGTATGTACCACACAATTGTTCGGAATTTTTATTTCGGACAACCTCTTCCCCCTATACAAAACAGCATTTTAACGAGTTATTCAATTAGCGTACCGGATATTATGCGACATATGTCAAATCTGATTGTTCGAGCCGAAAAAGAAGTTATCCTAGCAACCAATTACTGGCAGAATTCGGTTGCCTCGAAATATATTACGAATGCAATGAAGGAGCTTTCGAGAAGAGCTGGTGAGAGAGGAGAAAGAATAGTGTTCAAACTACAATACGATAGAGGAAGTCCGAAACAGTTACTCGATAACCATTACATGGTTCCAGAGAAAGAATATCTCGGCAAAGCTGTTGCACTTCCTACGGCGGCGGAAATCCCAAATCTCGATCTTCAAGTCATGAATTATCATAGACCTATGCTCGGAACATTTCACTGCAAATATATGATTGTCGATAGGAAATTTGCGGTTCTTCAAAGTAATAATATTCAGGATAATGATAATATGGAGATGATGACACATTTGGAAGGTCCAATTGTTGATTCTCTATATGATATGGCTTTGATTTCTTGGCATAAGAAATTTGAGCCTCCATTACCAAGTCATAATTCTCCTGCAGCTCAAGGTGGATTGAGCTCATTCCAAAGCAAACGTCACGATGAGATTTTTGATCAAAATGGTTCTATTAGGGGTCACTCCGCTGTTGTACATCCGGAAAGAATGCAGGCACAACAAGCTTACTCTTATGAACCTCGAGCTTCAAATCGGCCGGGTTTCGATCATTCTGAGACTACAGCAAATGGAGGTTCAACCACAGGTCCTTCAACAACCGAGAGTGTTACACATCCTGTTGGAAGTACCAATAATGCGGAGAGCATTAGAAATGGAGTTGAACAAATTCAATTGAATGGTGATCAAAATGTTAATCATGGATTCGAAGATAAAGATCTCAAAACTAGAGAAATGATGGCCGAAAACGCAAGGGCGATAGCAACCACAGGAGATGCTGAACACATTGTTCACACAAAAGATGGCGATAAACCAGTACCTAATTCACCAGAAAGCGCAACCCAAGCTCAACATGGTGTCAATGGACCCGATATAGAGACTCAGGAATTTCTAAGCAACGGAACTCAAGTAATTCCTCAATCACAAATCGAACATCCTTCACCATCCGGTAATCTTTTACCGGAACACACAACGGATGATCCTCATTACGATGAAGATATTGCAGGTGAAGTAGCTCGAGTTCAAACTGCTGTTTCTCCTAAAAATGGAGAAACAAGGATTGAAGCCGTTACTCGTCATCTCAACCATACCAGAAATCCAGGATTCAAAGGAAATGCACCGGATTGTGAACCACGAGAAGAAATGACTCCTTACATTCCTCATCCAGTTCATGAACCATTCCCCATTGCTATGGTATGTCGTGAACCATATGGATCACCAAATCATAGCTCTGTTTATAATCCTCAGAATGAGGTTTGGCTTTCCGCGCTGAGAAATGCTACCAAAAATGTTTTTATTCAAA